TTTGTATATACGTGTGGTGTGTCATATCAATTGGTGTTTTATGGATTCATTGTGTTTACTTGTTGTTTTCGTATCTTGTTTTTATTGCGTAATTTTGTTAAAATTTTCGTCGTGATTACTTCTGAAGTTGTTTCGAGTCTTCTACATCCATGAATGAATTGATTGATGTTAAGGACAGCAGATGGGTCGTATACGCCGGGGAGGCTATTGCTGAGAATGAAATGCACACGGAGATAATTGTTAGCTGCGGTCCGACACGCCGGGGAGAAAGAGTGTAAACGACTGAGGCTCGCATGCGTCACCGCTACTAGAACTGAGGCAGAATGAGTGACAAGCGATTTCAGTGGTAATTGATAGTGAATTGAAAAGAGGATGCTTGAAGAGTATCATGAGGTGCTGCCATGGTCACTTTGCATTCTGCAAGAGTCATTCTAGCAAGTGGCGATTGTGTTGCAAGATGTCAAGAGGAGGTCTCTGTCTGGAGGCGCAGGTCGTCAGCGATGTGTGAGATTGTGCTGTGGGTATGCTTGTGGTGTGTTGGCTTTTCTGTTTGTTTTCCATTTCAGCTCTGTCCGTGTGACCCAGGTTCTCGCAATGGCATCCAAGTCAACGTGCATTGGTCGTGAAGGAAAAAAGGGTTGGATCCCTTTTTTGCCGGGGAGTGTCAATGGAGTTGAAGATTGAACGATCAATTCTTGGTTGTTTGCTCAAAATCAACTTCCCCGATTTTCGCGGAGGCATCAATACGACAGTCATCGTCTCATCGGTCGCTGTTCAGAAAGAAGAGTAAAACATCGTCAGAAGTAATATAACGATTTATTATTGTAATATTTGTTTACAGACCTTAGTTCGCTTATTCCTTTTATATGTTGGTGTAACAATAAAGAAATATCAAACGGCAGATCGGTGTTTTGGTTTTTTCGTCCGTTATAACTAAGCGTTTCTGAAATCTTCGAAGAACAGCGTGGGCCCGAGCGTAGCGAGAGCTGGGCATTAACGGTTTATGAGACGTGATTGACAAGCTCTTTATTTATTTGATTCGACTTATTCTATTCCTATTCTCTGTGGGGTACGGTTGTGAACCAAATGCACAAAAATTTATAAAATAAAAAACCGGCATGAGGATAAATGTGTTAAAACCAAAAGTGGAAATCATGATAGTAAGACCCATATGGGTAGCACTATACATTGCAAATGCACGTTGTCAGCCTAGGGAGTTTCCTTTATTAATGTATTTATTAATGATACTTGCACTTACCCATTTCATTACACTTTATTGATTCACCTTAGCACTTTTATTTTTCTAAGGCAGCTTTGAATCCGTTGTAAACGTTGCAATTACCTCAATATTGATTGGTTATCGTATGCCTACAACCACGGGATGAAAACGAAACGAAGTCGATTTTCCCGCTCAACCTGGAGGATAATTGTACAATTCGATAACTATACGGCCTGGTTCAGACAATCAGTGTATATATATATATATATCAAATAATTAACTGTTGAAACATTATGAACTTTTAGACAATCTACGATTTGATATTATATCATACTTAATCGTGCCTGCAAAAATGGCATGTATTTTCATGTAAATTTATGTTTATATGAGAATATACATTATTATTATGAGTGTTTCTGGCTGGAATTTAATAACTCGGCCAATAACTTGCTGTGCTAGTTAGTCTACCTCGATTGGCTTTCATTAGCTGTATTTGTGCTGAGTACTAGTTCTAAAATTATTCAGTCATAGTCATATGGTTAACCTGCTCGCCTGCAAGCTGCCTCCTCTCCGACGCATATGCCACCGAGATGTAGTAAGTGGTTATGGAATTTGGGAGAGCAAGCAACTAGAAACCATGCCTTCTTGATGGCTCGTTGAATGAATTAATTCTCTTTCGTGACTAGGTTTTCCACTTCACTTTCATTACGCCTCGTTTACGGAAATAAGTGTTTAAAACACCATTAGTCTCCCACAATAATACGACCTACATAGGTAGGAGTAACTATTCTGATAAAAAGTTTGTTTCTACGTGCTTCTGCTGCATTACTCGTGTGATCCACTCTTGCATCCGTTTTCTCGACAGAACCACACCCAACTCCCACTCTGACATTACTCAGAACAAATCATAGTTGCACAGGGAGTAACTCATGCTCTGAGGCCTACAGGCACGTGGCTGCATCACTTTGCATTTTTTTCCGATTGACAGTCATACAATTTGGAGATGCCCAGTTTGCCAAAACTTCTGGTCATTTATACTTTTCAGCCCCTCAAATTAGATAGTGTTAAGTATGATTAAGCAAGCTTTCGTCATAAAGTGTTTGTTGTACTAGTGGGACTACTGAGCCGTTCCAGGCATGCGATAATAGCCCATATGAGAAGGATGGCCTGAAGAGTGTAGTAAGTAGACAGACTCTGTCAGCTGCCAGCTCCTCAAGAAGCCATGAGTCCTGTTGGCCTCTCTGTGTCTAGTTAGCGTGGATACCAGAATGGGATGTTTTAGTCGATACCATGTGGCAGGGCTGGGGTTGTCACTAACGTGGACGATGACTCCTTTACCTAGACCATGGTAGAAATGGCTCGCCACCCCTTCAGCTCTTTCCTGATTATCTTCTATTATATCTGAGTTATTAATCAGACTGAAAACTTCATGGGACGTCTTGTTCCTGGATTTGAAGTAGGAAAATTATTATTTAGCGTTCTGAGTTGCATGAATATTGAATTTCAGTTGCGACTGGAGAACTCCTGAGTACTTTTGTTTCGAGATGTTCTGTATAGTTTCTTGGCTTCCGGAGACTAACAGTTGCGTAGGTATAGGGTTTGAAAACTTAGGCGTACGTTTGCTCCGACTGACTCCATAAAGCTTCCTCATGCGTTTCCTTGTTTGTACAGTTAGATAGAATCACAGAGATGGCAGAAGCTATGTCCATTTTCATGTGTTAAAGTTTCTACGCCAAACTTTTCTAGAGGTAATTAGTCAATAAATAGCCACGGATATGATGTATCTTCTCTTTTTCCCTTCACCAAGTCAGATCATTCGAGAGGACTTCGGAAGAGAGTTTATGAACTGTGGAGTACTAATTTTGTACTAAGTAATTAACTTCCAGAGGAAGCGGAGTCTACTTCTTCAACACACTTGTTCAACAAAGGGTCGGAAAAGCACGGTTACTGTATGAGAAACAATTAACAGGTTTGAAGCATTTTATTACCCACCAGCGACACTGAATTCACCACTAAATACCACAGTCCTGACATTAGTGCACAAGACTTCATAATAGGGACGATAGGCTCCGAAGCATCGAACCGCTGAAGTCTAGCATTTTGCTAACATGTCATGAAGCTCATGCCCCATAACTCACAGCAGTCATCTTCAACTCGGGACCTATTTTTCTACCATAGTGAGGATATGAATCTCACACGTCTTCCTCCGTTAGGAAGAAGTGATCACGCTGTGCTCACCTTCAGGTTCACAGCAGCACCATCATGGGCCAGAGCCCCAGCTCGACCGAACGTTTGGATAGCTGATATAAATGCAGTCATCTCAGTAGTCAACTCAGTGAACTGGCATATCAGCCCAGAGTCCCAAGTAGAAGTCGCATGGAACCAGTTTAAGCAGCTTTACGCCCAAGTAACTGAACCGTCGGTCCCAGAGGGTCGGAAACATTGCCTCACTTCAATAAGCCTGAAGATCCGTAAATTAGTCACTGGTAATCATAAAAAGTTTTAAAACCTGTCTGCCACACTTGCAACTCCTGAGACCACTAGTAGCAAAGCTGTTGCAGAAATCCGCCAATCAGGGATAAAGCTCGAAGCACATTTGGCTCAAAATGCAAAGGTCAAATCGAGGGACAACAGAAGACCTGTTGACGTCGTCTTCATAGACTTCAGCAAAGCCTTTGATAAATTACCTCACAGTAGACTACTCATGAAGTTGGAAAGTCTTGGTATCAAAGGCAGCTTACAAAATGGATTGGCAAGTTCCTCATAGATAGGAGGCAGAGGGTTAGGATCAACTCGAAACTCTTGGACAGCAATACGTAGCTGAGTGCCACAAGGCACAGTACTCGGACCTCTCCCATTTGTTTTGTATATCAGTGAGTTATCTCTGCTCACCGACTCCCCTATGGTCCTGCACGCAGATGACTTAAAAATTTGGAGAGAGCTGAAGGGCAACAGTTATACATTCACGTTGCAAGAGGACCTCAACAAATTGTCACAGTGGTCCATAGAATGGGTGCTCCCGATAAATGTGGCAAAATGTTCAACCATGCGCATTGGACAATCAAGCACAAGCTCCGACGAACTAGGGGGAATAACACTTCCATCAATTCAGACTCACTTGGACTTAGGTGTCATAGTTAGCCACGACTTAAAAACTACAGCACACTATCGTGCGGTGGCTGCACGTAGTTTCAGGTCCTTATGAGCAATTCGCAGAGCCTTCACTAGAATCACCAGAGATATGTTCACCTCCTTATATACATCTCTGGTGAGGTCAAGATTGGAAAACTGTATCCAGGAAGCGAGTCCTTGTCTAAAAGGAGACTCATACATTCTAGAGAGGGTTCAAAGGATGGCAACACGTGTGATTCACGGCATGACTAACTTATCATACGAGGAAACACTAGATAGTTTAAATCTTTTCTCCCTGTCATACCGTTGGCAGAGAGGAGATTTAATCACAATGTTTAAAATTTTAAATAAAGACTACGGACCTAACTTATTCTCTCTTTTCCTTCCCACCAGGTCGGAACACCTTAGAGGACATAGCAGGAGAGTTCAAAAGCCAGGGAAAAATCATGTTGCTGTTGAGTACTGGTTCTCACATCGAGTCATAAACTCTTGAAACCGACTCCCAGAAGAAGTGGTGTCTGCAACTTACACTGATTCGTTCAAGAAGGGTTTATACAACCACAGAAATTTACTAGAAAAGTATTAACATAGGCTCCAAGCCTTTTATCCTCAACTAATTTCAGTCGATAATTTCAGTTCCAAAATCTGAATCTGAAAGTGGAAGTGACCTTGCGCGTAATTCGAATTGTAACGTGTTTTCCGTTCAGGATTTATTTACCTGTTGTTGTCCTCTCTGGTTCGACCATCTAACAGAAGGAGCAAAACACACGGCGAAAACATCATATCGTGTTTTCTAGATGACAATACTGTTGGACTGCCTGCCTCGAAGCATTGCTGCTAATGTGATAATTCACTAATTGTCAGTTTAAACGTAGAATTCCACGTTTTCTTCCTTTCTTTTTAAGTCTACATTACATAAATTAATTATAATTGTTATCGTTATGGTGGTTGTCCTTTTTGTTTTCGGTGTTACTGGCCGAATAATGAGTGAAAGGACTAACTCCATCCACAGTAGCAACAGTGTTAACACACCTCTTTCTATAAACTACATATAATTAATTCCAGCACCACTCCTTTTGGAGTCAACCAAAGGTACGGTAGTCGAGTGGCGTGGTGAACTACACCAACCATTGCCGAAGACCAAGAACCCTTACCTCACAATCAAGAAGCGAGTACAAAAAGATCAAATTGATTTACGCTAACTCGTAAAAGTGATATTAGATATTGGAACCTATTTCAAACTAATATACAACCAAAATTTGCGGGTGCATTGATGGGATTGTGCAAAGATGCATAATTAGACCAGAGGTAAAGTCAAAAACTGTATGTAACAGTACTGTGGTACTTTTATGTATATTCTACTGTCCCAGCACTCAGAATACCTTTAAAAAAACTCATTGCGGTATATTCACCATTCATTTGTGAATGTAAATGGTGAAAATCAGTCTACCTGGAATTAGGCCGTGCCCTTTTTCAAAGTGTTTTATGGTAACAGCAGCAGGGGCTCAGAGCTATAGGAAAGGCTACATGTGTAGCAATCCCGTGTATCAACTAATTTGCCAGTCTTAGTGTCGCTTTCCTATGATTTGCTGTTTATGGTCATGTCGAAGGCACTTGGTGGTGGGTTGTTATTTTTATTCCTTTTACTTTCCCAGGGGAACGTAGGGCTTCAACCTAGAGCTTTAAAGTTCCGGTAGCAGTGGTATTTATTTTTACAGGATAGGGTTGCCAGCCAACCACATGCCTAACTTTCCCTATTTACAAGTTTTACTACTGGCTCAGGGAGGTAAAGGAGAACGTCTATTAGGGATCAAACCTCGGACGACCTGAGTGGTTGGCGAATATTCTACCGCTTTGCCACCGACGCACGCAGTAGTGGCCAATATAGTTTAACTTCTCCAACACTTCTTACGATCAAGCTTGTTCAGCATTATTGTCCTGCAACATCTTCTAAAACACCAGTACAAAAAAATTCGTCTCACCATTCTCACCCCTTGTTTTGCGGTGAAATGAATTTTATTTTTATTTTATTTATTTTGATTACAGCTTGATTCCACAATGTATTTTTGGTACAAGTATGGAATTTTCAGCATGGATATCGGTGGCCCAAATTTCGCAGACCGACCATAGATATCAGATGTGCGTCAGCAGGGGATTGAACCTCGGACCATGTGCGTGGTCGGCGAGTCCTAACCACTGTGCCACCGATGCACAGTGGAGGGAGTCAGTCTTATGCCCTGGTTGGAGGCAGGGACACCATTTCACTTACGACTCGAGTGCCATGTGGTGGAAGCAAACGCAAGGAATGAATAAGAATAAAAGCTAGGAGGAAACAAATGTGACAAACAAGAGCTTGTGTAGGATGTGAGTGCATGGGTTCTGTGACACAGTGACCCCACTTCAGTATTTTCAATTTATATTAAACAATCTGTCTATGTCGTTTTGATATTTTTTGTTTAGCATCTTGCACAAAGCATCCTTTACCAATTGGACATTGAAATAGATTCATAAGTTTACTGTTTATTGATTTTCCACGCTCTTGAATGAGACATAATAGCCGCCTACTACCTTTGTATGGATATTAATTTTGTTTTTCTCTTTTTGATATACGACGACTGGAATTCGGGAATAGTGTTCTGAATCAGTTAACGCTGAATGAATGGTTACTTATTATTGATTCTTAGTGCATATGACCAAAATCCATGACTGAAGTGAAACAGGCTTGTCCAGTGGATGAATTATGTAGGTCTTTATTCCAGTATGAGTCACACTCCCAACACTGATAAAATTTATATTGATCGCTAAACGCTTATAAATACAAGATCACTTCATTAATTCGCTAATTCACGTATTTTTAGTGGTTACGTGATCTATCCTATGCTACTCTAGTGAAATTATTGACCTGACTTTATAAAATAAATACGGTTTTGTGTAAGACTCACCTACTTTTGTCACTGTGATTTCAATTGAGTTATTGTCACCATTTTTGTGTTTGTTTTAGTCTTTACCTTGTGTCATTCACCAAAAGATGGATGTACATTGTATCACTCAATCGATCGGAGAGTTTCAAATAACCTCAGATAAACAGAATACTGATGTAGGCGATTATCTTTTGGGTGATGAATTTCCGAAGTCATGGAACATAGACAAATTGAGCCTGCCTCCAAAATCAATACCCTTACTTAAATACAAACTGATAGATGATGAAGAAAAGAGCGTTTCACTTTCCACAAGTCATATTTATGCTAATGCTCCCCTTTCAAGAAGTAATACACTACCTGCACAATTTAAATCCCTTAAATGTCTAACAAAAGGAAATTCAAAAACTGTTTATGAGTAAGGATTCCTGGTTTTGTTTCGATGTATTATCTTGTGACATTTCATTTTTTTCTTTACTTGTTTAAATATGAAATATGTTTACTTTTTGTCAATGCAGTTGTCTGGTGTGAATAGGCTAAATTACTCGAAAGTGTAGAACTGTAGCCCGACAGTTATTTGCTTACTTGCACACTAATAAACGAGGCTGAGTACTGATAACCCCTACCTGATGGCTTCTCTAGACAAGAAAGCGGATTTCAGGCATATGGTATATTATTTTCTAACTGAATATCTCACACAGTAATACATCTGAAACTGTTCAAAGAGATAATTGGAGTACATGTATGCAACAAATTCACCTATGTTGGACCTAAAGAACAGTCACTGGAAGCTTACATTCCATAAGTCGCGACAGTATGTTTTTCTGTCTAATTTCAACATAGAACTTTGCAACGATGTGCACCAGTTCAAGTCGCCACACTCCCTCCATGAAGCACACAAAGCAAGAGAAGAAAGTAAAAAGGAATGCATAACAGAGACAGTAGACAGGGATATGAGACATAAGGAATAGTAATAACGAAGAACAATATAGTTTCATTGGGTATTATAAGTCACAAGGAGTGGATGCATCTGCGCTAACCATTGAGAACTATGAGTTTGAGCCATATCATCGATTGTCTCCAGCTTTCATTGGTTTTTACCGTCCCCAAGACCTCAACCAGTCAGGCAGTCTACACCTTTCTAGGTGGCTGACTTAAACTAACTGTTGTGGATTTCATTGCCTGATAAAGTCATGTTTTAGTTTGACCACCACTGGCTCTTTTCCAGCCTGACCCTATGTCAGCTAATATTGACCGTCGAGGAAGGCGATGACTACGCATAAGCAGCACATGTCCTAACCATCTCAGTCGATGTAACTTCACAGCCTCGTCGATTGATTTCCCCTCTCACCTACCTAGCGCTCAACCTTAATATTGCTCACTCTATTATACCACTTCACACGCAAGACAGAACGCAGACACCTATGATCAAACACAGCTGGCTAACCAGGCTTTTCATGTCTTCCACTTTCTTCAATGGCCAGTCTCACAGCCCGTCATAAAGGAGGACGGAGTGGACTGCTGAACAGTACACACGCTCTTCGGTCGATAGACAGCCGTATATCATGTCTACTAGGCCAGAGATGGCGTAAACTGGCATATGCGAAACTGGCCTTCTGTATCCGTGCTGAGATTTTGTCAGCGACAGTATGTTATGGGTTACAATTGTTAATCACCAAACATTGGCATAAATTAGATTTTACTCGTAAATCATCTGTTCAGTTTCTATGTGTTTACTTAGTATTCAGCAATGTTGACGTTAGGCGTAGAGTGTTGGGCAAAGAGGGAAAATCAATCGACGAGGCTATAAAGTTACATAGACTGAGAGAGATGAATAGGTCACGTGCTGCGCATGCCTAACCATCACCTCCCCCGACGGGCATTGCTAGCTGATATAGGTGCAGGTTGGTAAAGAGCCAGTGGTGGCCAAACAAAAACATGGCACCAATCCATGAAATCCTTGACAGTTAAACTGAGCCAGGTAGGGAGATGCAGACTTCCGGGTTGGGGCCCTCGGGACTCTAGGAATCAATGGCTGGAGACAATAGGTGAGATGGCTCAAAATCGTTGTCAATGGCCAGCGCCAGATGTATTCAGTCTCTGTTATCTTTCATATTCCTTTCTACCATTACCCGTTCTGTTTCACTCTTATACTTGTCAGACTGTATTGATTCTCTTCACTCATCTTCTTGTCTACCTCTGTGTGGTATTTGGAACGTGGCAACTGGAACTGGTGCCTTTCGGTGCCAAGTTCTATGTTGAATCCAGACAGACAGATTCAGCAATGACATTATCACAGACATTATGTATAGTGGAATTGGCATTGAAGTAATTTCGTTGCTAAAGAACTTCACTGGTTATTCATTACTGACAAAATTATTAGTATTATTATTATTGTGTCCTTTAGTTCCTACAGGAACACAGGGCTTCAGTCGCACGTCTCTATTGCGTTCCGTTCTTTGCCAACGTTTTCACCTGACTCCACGTCTGCCCGCATACTTTCATCTCCTCTTCGCATGACCTCCTCCATGTTGCCCTCACACTGACGACCAACTCGCTGTTTCCAATTTGGGTGAGCCTGGAGTGTGATGTCACTTGATGATTTGTTTTCTCACAGTATGGCCTCCAATCCACCTACCTCCATTTCTTCCTGCATATTTGTTGCACGATTGGTTCTTGCTGGGTGGGTTCGTTCATTGCCAGAGATCCCTCCCAGGGAATAATCTCATTGACTTAGGATATGCGGATAATATAGTCCTTCTAGGTAAAGACCCTGACAAAATGCAGAGTTTTCTGAACACCTTGAGCTGCAACCTATGTATGTTAGGCATGCGATTAGCTCCCGCCAGATTTAAGATGATGTTACAGGGCTGGACTAAACTGACTCCTAGCTTAGAAATAGGAAGTGAAGTGGTAGAGCGTGTTGACGACTTCACTCATCTGGGAAGTTGCATCAGCCAGTGTCAACAGGCTAATCGCTGACAAAATCTCAGCACGGATACAGAAGGCTAGTTTCGCATATGCCAGTTTACGACGTATCTGGCTAAGTAGACGTGATATCCGACTGGCTGTCGATCAAAGGGCGGGTGTACTGCTCATCAGTCTGCTCCGTCCTCCTCTATGGCTGTGAAACCTGGCCTTTGAGAGTGGAAGACATGAAAACCTGGCTAGCTAGCTGTCTTTGATTATAGGTGTCTGCGTTCTATCTCCCGTGTTAAGTGGTATAATAAAGTGAGTAATATTGAGATTAGGCGTCGAGTGCTAGGTAAGGGAGGGGGGAAATCATTAGACGAGGCTGTGAAGCTAAATAGACTGAAATAGCTAGGGAATGTGTTACGCATGCCTAGTTATCGCCTTCCTCAACGGTCAATATTAGCTGACATAGGGTCAGGCTGGAAAAGAGCCAGTGGTGGTCAAACTAAAACATGACTTTATCAGGCAATGAAATCCACAACAGTTAGTTTAAGTCAGCCACCTAGAAAGGTGTAGACTGCCTGACTGGTTGAGGTCTTGGGGACGGTAAAAACCAATGAAAGCTGGAGACAATCGGTGATATGGCTCAAACTCATAGTTCTCAATGGTTAGCGCAGATGCATCCACTCCTTGTGACTTATAATACCCAATGAAACTATATTGTTCTTCGTTATTACTATTCCTTATGTCTCATATCCCTGTCTACTGTCTCTGTTATTGTTATGTACTCGTCGCTAAATTATTGTTATGGACTGGTCGAGAATCTAATAGTCCTGACGCAAGAAGGCGGAAATCAGAAGACCACTAGGTTTGCGATGATACTTCTGTTTCCAAACACAAGGAGAATGCAAAAGTGGTATCACACCAAAGTAAGTAAGTAAGTCACACAAATTGTGAGAGCGAAATATATATGAATATTCAGATAAGGGTGTGAACAATCATTAGACAGTCTTAACATGAATGGCTAATTATAATGGAGTGTCGATCCAATTATACAAAGCGAATATAGCAGACATGTCAACAAACATATATGGATATATGTCACCAAGCAACGGACTGTCAACAAACACTCATATTATATATAATATAAGGGGAATATACATTGTTAAAGGAGACAAGTTCATACAAGTGAAATGGTCACAGACTAAGAGAGCAAACAGAAAGAGAGACCAACATACACACATACACACATAAATATATATATGTGGATACATATCAGTTATGCATTCCTTTTTACTTTCTTCTCTTGCTTTGTGTGCTTCATGGAGGGAGTGTGGCGACTTGAACTGGTGCACATCGTTGCAAAGTTCTATGTTTAAAACAGAGAGACAGATCCCTTCCTGTTGCTGATCTTTTCTGATTGGCCATCTGATCTTGAGTAGTATTGAGTGAAGGCAGCTGTTGATGTAGGTCTGTAGTTTGTCTGAAGTGCTCTTCTTGACGTCCACTTAACACGGGAGATAGAACGCAGACACCTATAATCAAAGACAGCTAGCTAGCCAGGTTTTCATGTCTTCCACTCTCAAAGGCCAGTATTCACAGCCATAGAGGAGGACGGAGCAGACTGATGAGCAGTACACCCGCCCTTTGATCGACAGCCAGTCGGATATCACGTCTACTTAGCCAGATACGTCGTAAACTGGCATATGCGAAACTAGCCTTCTGTATCCGTGCTGAGATTTTGTCAGCGATTAGCCTGTTGACACTGGCTGATGCAACTTCCCAGATGAGTGAAGTCGTCAACACGCTCTACCACTTCACTTCCTATTTCTAAGCTAGGAGTCAGTTTAGTCCAGCCCTGTAACATCATCTTAAATCTGGCGGGAGCTAATCGCATGCCTAACATACATAGGTTGCAGCTCAAGGTGTTCAGAAAACTCTGCATTTTGTCAGGGTCTTTACCTAGAAGGACTATATTATCCGCATATCCTAAGTCAATGAGATTATTCCCTGGGAGGGATCTCTGGCAATGAACGAACCCACCCAGCAAGAACCAATCGTGCAACAAATATGCAGGAAGAAATGGAGGTAGGTGGATTGGAGGCCATACTGTGAGAAAACAAATCATCAAGTGACATCACACTCCAGGCTCACCCAAATTGGAAACAGCGAGTTGGTCGTCAGTGTGAGGGCAACATGGAGGAGGTCATGCGAAGAGGAGATGAAAGTATGCGGGCAGACGTGGAGTCAGGTGAAAACGTTGGCAAAGAACGGAACGCAATAGAGACGTGCGACTGAAGCCCTGTGTTCCTGTAGGAACTAAAGGACACAATAATAATAATACTAATAATTTTGTCAGTAATGAATAACCAGTGAAGTTCTTTAGCAACGAAATTACTTCAATGCCAATTCCACTATACATAATGTCTGTGATAATGCCATTGCTGAATCTGTCTGTCTGGATTCAACATAGAACTTGGCACCGAAAGGCACCAGTTCCAGTTGCCACGTTCCAAATACCACACAGAGGTAGACAAGAAGATGAGTGAAGAGAATCAATACAGTCTGACAAGTATAAGAGTGAAACAGAACGGGTAATGGTAGAAAGGAATATGAAAGATAACAGAGACTGAATACATCTGCGCTGGCCATTGACAACGATTTTGAGCCATCTCACCTATTGTCTCCAGCCATTGATTCCTAGAGTCCCGAGGGCCCCAACCCGGAAGTCTGCATCTCCCTACCTGGCTCAGTTTAACTGTCAAGGATTTCATGGATTGGTGCCATGTTTTTGTTTGGCCACCACTGGCTCTTTACCAACCTGCACCTATATCAGCTAGCAATGCCCGTCGGGGGAGGTGATGGTTAGGCATGCGCAGCACGTGACCTATTCATCTCTCTCAGTCTATGTAACTTTATAGCCTCGTCGATTGATTTTCCCTCTTTGCCCAACACTCTACGCCTAACGTCAACATTGCTGAATACTAAGTAAACACATAGAAACTGAACAGATGATTTACGAGTAAAATCTAATTTATGCCAATGTTTGGTGATTAACAATTGTAACCCATAACATACTGTCGCTGACAAAATCTCAGCACGGATACAGAAGGCCAGTTTCGCATATGCCAGTTTACGCCATCTCTGGCCTAGTAGACATGATATACGGCTGTCTATCGACCGAAGAGCGTGTGTACTGTTCAGCAGTCCACTCCGTCCTCCTTTATGACGGGCTGTGAGACTGGCCATTGAAGAAAGTGGAAGACATGAAAAGCCTGGTTAGCCAGCTGTGTTTGATCATAGGTGTCTGCGTTCTGTCTTGCGTGTGAAGTGGTATAATAGAGTGAGCAATATTAAGGTTGAGCGCTAGGTAGGTGAGAGGGGAAATCAATCGACGAGGCTGTGAAGTTACATCGACTGAGATGGTTAGGACATGTGCTGCTTATGCGTAGTCATCGCCTTCCTCGACGGTCAATATTAGCTGACATAGGGTCAGGCTGGAAAAGAGCCAGTGGTGGTCAAACTAAAACATGACTTTATCAGGCAATGAAATCCACAACAGTTAGTTTAAGTCAGCCACCTAGAAAGGTGTAGACTGCCTGACTGGTTGAGGTCTTGGGGACGGTAAAAACCAATGAAAGCTGGAGACAATCGATGATATGGCTCAAACTCATAGTTCTCAATGGTTAGCGCAGATGCATCCACTCCTTGTGACTTATAATACCCAATGAAACTATATTGTTCTTCGTTATTACTATTCCTTATGTCTCATATCCCTGTCTACTGTCTCTGTTATTGTTATGTACTCGTCGCTAAATTATTGTTATGGACTGGTCGAGAATCTAATAGTCCTGACGCAAGAAGGCGGAAATCAGAAGACCACTAGGTTTGCGATGATACTTCTGTTTCCAAACACAAGGAGAATGCAAAAGTGGTATCACACCAAAGTAAGTAAGTAAGTCACACAAATTGTGAGAGCGAAATATATATGAATATTCAGATAAGGGTGTGAACAATCATTAGACAGTCTTAACATGAATGGCTAATTATAATGGAGTGTCGATCCAATTATACAAAGCGAATATAGCAGACATGTCAACAAACATATATGGATATATGTCACCAAGCAACGGACTGTCAACAAACACTCATATTATATATAATATAAGGGGAATATACATTGTTAAAGGAGACAAGTTCATACAAGTGAAATGGTCACAGACTAAGAGAGCAAACAGAAAGAGAGACCAACATACACACATACACACATAAATATATATATGTGGATACATATCAGTTATGCATTCCTTTTTACTTTCTTCTCTTGCTTTGTGTGCTTCATGGAGGGAGTGTGGCGACTTGAACTGGTGCACATCGTTGCAAAGTTCTATGTTTAAAACAGAGAGACAGATCCCTTCCTGTTGCTGATCTTTTCTGATTGGCCATCTGATCTTGAGTAGTATTGAGTGAAGGCAGCTGTTGATGTAGGTCTGTAGTTTGTCTGAAGTGCTCTTCTTGACGTCCCAAGTCTCTCGTCTGCATAGTTAGTAGCACTGACTTCACTTTGGAGTTGAAAATCCGGATCTTACTTTCCGAGCTGTTGTTGGTCTCAAGATGTATAAAAGCACATAAGTAGCATTATTTGCATTTTTGTTACATTCCTTCTGTTTTACGTGATTTCTGATAATCACTACTCCTTATAGCATTTATTTTTATTTATTTAAATTTTACAGAGCAACTTTAAGAGTTACAACCGAAGGTGGATTCAATTTTTCACCTGGTGACAGTATCTCCATATTTCCAGAAAACGATCCACATACGGTGTCATGGTTGTTAAACCGCCTAGATCTAGACAGTCTAAAGAATGCAGATACACCTTTTATTGTAGAAGCTGTGGATAATACAAAAGCGCGAAATCTTCCGTCTTGGTTAATTTCTGGTCATTCAACTTCACTGCGGTTTTTGTTAACATATTGCTGTGAATTGTACATACCGATAAGTCGTCGGATTTTGAGAATTTTGGCCGACTACTGTGTTGTTAATGATAAAACTAATTCTATTAGTTTTGACAGACAACGAAACCGACTGTTAGAGTTTGCAAGTCAAGAGGGAAAGAATATGTTTGAAGTGTAAGTTCTATGTGTTTATAGTTATTCAGTTGAGTTAAGCAATTAAGTAGGGTCAGGTGAATAATCCAAAAATCAAAGATATTGTTCTGTTAAATATGATGAATCGAAAGATCAGTAAAATTGTAGCCTAGAGAAAAAGTTATCTGTAATGAGACTCCGGTAGTAATAATTTCCCAAACTATTGAGCTTCTAGTGGGAAGTTACCAGTGAGGCGTACAGCGGATCGACGACGACGACGACGACAAATACTCGTTGCCGATGACATTGGCTAATGCCAGTCGCGCCGCATCATGAATCCTTAGAAGTTGGAATTCATGGGCTGGTCAATGGATTGGCGGGTCCCAGTGGCTTGATGACCTACGATCTCGCTGGCCTTGTAACCAGGAGGTCGTGGGTCCGAGCCCCTGTGGTTGGTGTATACTGTGAAGATTCCTAAAATAGGACGAAACAGCTGTCTGGCAGTACTCCCAGGTGGTTTTCCAATGGTTCTCTAACCAATGTCAGCTCATGATGAAATCCTGTAACCAACCAACTAATCAAATCCCTACAAACCAATACTTGAATACTAGGAATATTGTTAACTGCCTTTGTCTTAAGAAGTGTTCGAGTCCCACTTCACCCATTAAATGGATACCATCGTCAGCCCACTTCCCCCTCCCCCTCTTCACACAATATATGTGCCCCATCAGCTGGTACTGGAGAAATCTCTTCTGAGTGACTGAATTCTAACTAACCATTCACTTAATTGAGTCCACTTGGTAAGTATGGTAAATCTACAAATTTCACTTTGCGACTTTCTTCGACTAGTTTTCCTAGATTTACTGAGGTAGGGATCTGGGGGGGGAGGGGTAATCTAAGAAGTCATAGTGTAACGACAGAAGACAAGAGCCAAGCTACAGATCGTTTATTGAGAAAACCAAGAGATATTTATAGATTTCTGTGCGCATTATTATCAGCGTCATTGCTAGCAGAGAATCAACGTCTTCTGATTGGTTGTTTTCTTGTTGAAGGTTATTCTGTTATCTCTTTGTAACTGTTTCTTAAAAAGTCAGGTCATATATCTGCAAATCATATGTGTACACGCTAAGTCTACTGTGATTGGCCGTTGAGTTCCTGAATCTAAATCTACAAGTGGACCTAATGTTAAGTTTAGACCCATTTCAATTACCTCACCCTTTTTGAAAGTTATGGAAAGACTTATTTTACTTAATCTTGATCCCTCTTTAAAACCTTTCAACGACCCCAACCAGTTTGCTTATAAACATAGTAGGAGTACGTTAGATGCCGCTGTCGTCCTCCACCATAGCATAGTCTCTAGTTTAGATAAAGGAGCTAAATATGTTCGCTGTGCCTTCCTTGATTACACATCTGCATTTGACTCTGTTCCCAGGTCTCTCTTGCTAAGTAAGCTTGCTGCAACACAGGCTGAAAGCTGGACAAATAAGTGGTTGCATTCCTATTTTTCTGAAAGGAAGCAGTACACCGTCTACAATGGAAAATCCTCCACTACCTCACTTACTTTAGCTGGTGTTCCTCAAGGTGCTGTTCTTTCTCCCTTTCTGTTCTCGTTTTTCTTACATGACTTGCCTCATTCTGATGTAGCCACTTTTGTTAAATATGCCGATGACCTCTCGGTTTCTATGCCTGTCAACTCTCAGTCAGATTGTTCCAAATTAAATAGCTTTCTGTCGGAAATTAGTCAGTGGTCCTCTTCAAACGGACTTAAGCTTAATCCGTCTAAATGTCAGGTAGTCAATTTCACTTTCAGACGTAAATGTGACCTACAGCAACTAGTTAGCTCACATGGCCCCACTCTCATTGACGACACAGAGGTTGAAAATACATCTTATGTCAAGTACCTTGGGCTGAGTTTTTCCACCGATCTTTCCTGGTCTTCCCACATCTTGCTAGTTACTAGAAAGATGTTTCGCTTAACGTTCTACATTAGGAAATTTAGGCAGTCTGGCATAAACCAGTCTTTACTTTCTCAGTTTGTAAATTCTTGTATTCTACCCATCCTCCTTTACTGCTCCCCATTAGTCTTTCCTGGACTACTTAAGAAAGACTTTGCTTCGCTGAGAAGGGCACTAAAAGCTGTTAGTAGGGCAAGTGGGATATCGTTAAACCAACTGGTGAACACTATTGTAGATAGACATATTATGTCATGTAAGAAACTAGCGAATACAATATTGTCGGACCCCAAGCATCCTCTCTATACGCATCTATCTCCTTGCATTTCATCTGGAAGAACTAGAAGCAGCTACAGGAGGCTATATGCTAGGACTACCAAATACAAAAACTCCACAATACCATATCTGGCACAGCTGTTATGTGATGAGAAATCCGTTAGGTATGACACGATAAACTTACTGCGGCACTCTAACAAATAGTCCCATTAGTTTTTGTTTTCCTTTCCTCGTTACTACTACACTGTTGTTCTCATCTACTACCACACATCAACTTTATATTTCAAATCCTGTGGTGCATTGTTTGAAATGAAATACTCTACGTTGTTTTTTTTTCTTAATTTTTAATATTTATTTATAACTAATTTATTTTATTTTTATTTATTTATCTTTGATTTTTAAAAATCTTATATAATTTATGAGGTAATTAGATGCAATATACTGTAATGCACGCTGAAAATTCCATACCTGTACCACAAATACTGTTTGGAATAAAGCTGTTATTATTATTATTATTTGTTATTTTGTTTTTTCTCATGACGAAGATTTGGGATGTAAAAACATTGACGTAAATTGTTGTCTACAATTTTGGCTTGCACACAGGTCTGACTGCAATAGTAATAGTGGAATGACTGAGATTGCGTAATTCACTGGGCTTGATATTGACGCAGTCTTTCTTCTTAAACTTGCGATATAGTAGAGCTTACAGTTTGTACTTTTGAAGTTGTAATTATATCTTCATAGGATGATAGTATAAAAAGTATATAATATTAAAATATCTATTCACATTTCCTTCCATAATAGTTTGTTTATTACAGTGAAACAGTATTATTTACTGAACGACACAGTTTCGAACAAAATTTATTGTTCATAATCATATCAACTATGATCACACGACTTCGAAACCTGAGTTTTATGATTTTCTTTGTCCTCTCCTATTTGTCGCCATTGGGGTAGTAGAATTTTCCAGATATCTGAGTGGACAGGTGTTGAATCATTCCTGTTACACATATTCTCTTCCGTTGATTCGATAAACAAAGCTTCTGTTATCAATCTGTTCCTCCCTTCTCCCTGTTAGTTTTATTAGATTTTGAAACTGTCATCTTATCCCATCATTCTATTGTATGGTTGTGTGTAACTGCCTGTAGTGATTGGCATAGCTGAACTATTTTCTAGATTTCTTATCTTATTCGAGTCAACTAATCTAGATTTTCCTAGGTGGTGGCAATTTATCGATTCACATATAAATTGGAAAGTCAGGAAGGGAACTTCCAATGTTAGGGATTGTAGCGTAAAAAGGAAAGAAGATGGGAAGTTAAACACATACTAGTTTGTCTACAGGAAACCCACACATTCAAACAGATATTTGAACTGCTGATCATCCGATCCTATGTCAGTGAAAATAGGATCGGTTAAATGTTTAAATAATAGAGCACAAAAATTAACAAGTACAAAGGAAAGTCTAGGACACGAAGTGAGGCATATAAGAGAAGCTTTGAAACTTAATAATTACCCTGATCAATTAGTCAGAAAGTATGCAGGGAAATGTAAAAATAAAATGAATAATGACAGTAGTGAGAACGATAATAATAATATTAATGACGACATGCATGTCAAACATGCACAAGATAATCACAACACCAACAATAAGGAATCTAAATCATCAGTAGTAATTCCATACAAGGAAGGAACCTCGGAAACCTTACGTAGAATTTTTAACAATGCACGGAATAAAAGTGGCATTTAAACAACCCACAAACTCAATTACAAACAAGCTTTGTCGGTTAAATGGTGGATCCTGTCAGTGGAGCCTTTAAAACAAAACAATTAAGTTAATCTAATATCCTGATGCTGGAATGATTGTCAGGTCAAATACATAAGTGAAAGTAGTAGAACAGGTGCAGTCAGACTAGTCGAGTTGACCCTTATGAGATAAGAAACCTAGAGATTAGCTATAGCTATAGCATTCACTACATGCGATTGCACACGACCATACAATAGGATGGATAGGATGAGATGACAGTTTCAAAATCTAATACAACTAACATGGTGGAGGGAGAGATTGATAACAGAAGCTCTGTTTATCGAATCAACTGAGAGTGAATATGTGTAATAGGAATGATTCAACACCTGTCCACCCAGATATCTGGGAAATTCTACTACCCCAACCATGACGACAAATAGGAGGAGAGAACAAAGAAAACTATGAAACTCAAGTATCCAAGTCGTGTGTGATTATAATTAATGAAATGATTATGAACAATGAATAAATTGTGTTCGAAACTGTGTCATCCAGTAAATACTAATACTGTTTCACTCACTGTGTGATACATCTAACAAACAAACTGATATGGAATTACTTACTACCAGAGTGCCCAAGTTTTACACATATATTCACATTTGATAGTATGAAACATTCCCATATTATGAATTAAAAGTCAATCTGAACGAAGAATATTCTTTTCAATAATTTCTCTTCAGGTTGTTACAATTATAAAATATAATATTTATTGTCGTTACAATATAGGCCACTTATGCGGCGGATACATTTTTTTCTTAACGTAGAATATCAAATTAGCATTTATGGGGTGTCAAAATATATATAGTCGTATTTGTGTGACAAACGTGCTAGTAGCCCGAAATCGATTACAAAATATTTCGGTGAAACGGGAGACAATGGTAGCGGTGATTAGTCGTCATAATAGATTTGTAGAATGTGGGGTAGGAAAAGTTGACAAATAAGTCAGTTCAAGGTTATAAAAGGTGTCACGTGAGTGAGTGGCTAGTACAAAGTGGTCTGTGTTAAAGAGGAGGAGATAGTAAGACTAAAATGAGAGGGGTGCATAATGAAATACCGAATGCGTGAAATGAAACAAGTAAAGGAAGGCGTATATTGAGAAAAGAGATAATATCACTATTAATTAATAAGTCCGGATAATATAAATGAAAAATTGATAGCATTGAGAGAATGTTTCCATGATGGGCATAACTTATGACGAATAATAATTATTTAAAATTTTTAATATCTTTGTGCGTTGAAGTTTCTGTAGCGATCTGGTTAAGTTTTCGGGGTGGAGTTGCTACCACCACGCCCCAACCCTCTCTCTTTTTCCGGGCTTACGACCGGCTAGAAAACTGGCGAGCTGGTAATCTAAGGCGACGAATAATAATATTTGTAATGATAAGCAAAGGAAAAAAAACCAAGAGGGTTAAGGGGAAGGGGCACTCTTGGTGATTGATGGTTCTTCTTCTCACCAAGAGTGCTTCCTCCCCTTAACCCTCTTGGTTTTTTCCTTTGCTTATTATTACAGTTATTGTCATTATTTGTCACAATTTATCCCCTTCGTGCAAACATTCTCTCTATACTACCGAATTTTCGATATATACTATCCGGACTTATTAATTATTAGTGATATTATCTCTTTTCTCAATATACGCCTTCCTCCACCTGTTTCATTTCACACATTCGTTATTTCATTATGAACCCCTTTCATTGCAGTCTTACTATCTCCTCCTCTTTAACACAGACCACTTTGTACTAGCCACTTACCCAGCCGACACCTTTTATAACCTTGAACTGACTTATTTAATTGGTGGATGGTGACTAGCAGTGGAATTCAGGTTAATGCTCATTTTGTCCTATTTGGGACTCGTCAGCTGAAAGTACCTGCATTTCCCAGTGAGTGATGATGTTCCCACCGATACTCGAATCTAGTATCCATAGTTTCAAACGTCAAAGCGCTATCCACTAGACCACTTGGGCCACGAGAGCCACCTCTTGCTCTTCTGAAACGGGTCATATTAATTATTTAATTGAATTTTTGATTTTCCCGTCGATTGATTGGACTGACCACCACTTAAATACTAATTAAATGCCCAGACATCGTCAAAGCATCTGCACAAAAAGCTAACAGACATGTCAACCTGAGACCGAGTACTTCGCTGCAATCAGTCGCCGGGAAAATCAAAAATTCAATTAAATTGAACTGAATTATTTGTCAATTTTCCTACCCCACACTCTACAAATCTATTATGACGACTAATCACCACCACCATCATTGTCTCCCGTTTCACCGAAATATTTTGTAATCGATTTCAGGCTACTAGCACGTTTGTCACACAAATACGACTATATATATTTTGACACCCCATAACTGCTAATTTGATATTCTACGTTAAGAAAAAAATATATCCGCCGCATAAGTGGCCTTTATTGTAACGACAACAAATATTCATATTTCTTTCGTCTTCACATTAATCTTTTTCATTTTTCCAGGTACATTTTAAAGCCACAACTCAATCTCTTGGATATTCTGTACATGTTTCCAGCCTGCCGACCGCCTTTTATTCACCTATTAGAAATTCTACCACGTCTTCAGCCGCGCGCGTATACACTTATTAATTTATATGATGAATCATCATTATCCGTCGAACAAGATTTAACGTTTATTTTCACCAGAGTAGACTTTGAATATAATAACAGCAATAATAATAGCAACGATTCTGTAAGCAGATTGCGTTACCCGCATAGACATCATGGCACATGTAGTGGTTGGTTAGAAAGACAATGGTTCAGTGTTAACCGACCTGTTATTGGTGATGATGATGATGGTGATCAACATCATCGCATGGAAGAGAATTCTTCCACACGCATAGGCGAACCGATTATCCAGATATATTTACGTCAAAATTTAACACAATTTTACCTACCTGCCAATGATGGTGATAACGATGCCCAACGACCAGTGATTATGATTGGTGCTGGCAGTGGAATAGCACCGTTTATCAGCTTTATAAGACAACGTAAACGTGACTACCATGAGGTAAGGCATTAATTTTTTTGTCCAGTTGTTTTTTTTTTTGGTGTTTTGTTTTGTATAATATATACATTATTTCTGACGTCAATTTACTCATATATTAGTTTGAATAAGGCATTAAGATGACAAATTTCGCCGCGAGATGATATCGTCATTTCGCAGTTTCTTTACAACCGCTTTACAATTAACATGGTTAACAATGATAAAATAAAGTTCATGAAAATTACTCAGTTAAATAAAAAAAACAAAAGTACATACTAATGACCAGAATGTTCCAATGTCGTGGTCGAAAAGAACATATTCCAAAATGGCTAGTAAATCATATCGAAAATCCTAACGCGATTAATCTTAATACAAATCCAGCATCACCATCCATTGCAAAACACTTATTAATGTCAGGTCACAAAATCAATATTAATTAATGACTGTTTCACAATTATTCCATCACATAACTCTAACTCAAGGTTATTGAAGGTGATGAAAGCACTTTGGGGATTAATCACATACAGCCTAAACTGTGTGTACAAAAATCAATAGACTTCAATCTTCGCCTACCCTGGACTGCATGACCTATCTAAATATGATTGGTCATTAGTATGTACTTCTGTCTTTTTATTTAACTGAGTAATTTTCATGAACTTTATTTTATTATTGTTAACCATGTTAGTTGTAAAGCGGTTGTAAAGAAACTACGAAATGATGATATCATCTCGCGGCGAAATTTGTCTTCTTAATGCCTTATTCAAATCTATCAAAGGGACTAATTGTTTTAATATATTAGTTTGTCTATTAGATGTGTCACACACACAGAGTGAAACAGTATTATCATTTACTGGATGACAAAGTTCCGAACACAATTTATTCATTGTTCATAATCATTTCATCAATTATAATCACACGACTTGGATACTTGAGTTTCATAGTTTTCTTTGTTCTCTCCTCCTATTTGTCGTCGTCGTGTGGGGTAGTAGAATTTCCCAGATATCTGGGTGGACAGATGTTGAATCATTCCTATTACACGTATTCCGCCGACCATGCACATGGTCTGGGGTTCGATCCCCGGTCGGCGCACTCCTTCACCTCACTGAGCCAGAAATAATGCTGGTGAAGAGGAAAGGTTGGGCATGAGGTTAGCAACCCCATCCTGTAAAATTAAAAATGAACACTGCTACAGAAACTTCAAGCCACTAGCTTGGGGCTCTATGTTCCACTGGGAACGTGAAGGAAAAATTATTATTATTATTATCTCAGTTGATTCGATAAACAAAGCTTCTGTTATCAATCTCTCCCTCCACCATGTTAGTTGTATTAGATTTTGAAACTGTCATGTTCTTCCATCCATCCTATTGTATGGTTGTGTGTAATTGCATGTAGTGATTGGTATAGCTGAACTATTCTCTAGATTTCTTATCTCATTAGTGTCAACTAATCTAGATTTCGCTGCTAGGTTTTTATGCTCGACTACTCTAACTGCCCTGGTTCTACTAGTTTGACATATGTATGAAATGCTGAAAGCATTCAAATGCCCCTGCAGACCAACATTTCAATATCAATCTGATGCTCGCTGGTGACTTGCCCTATTCAGGTAGGCAGTTACCTGGGATTCTAGTGGAAAGTCGTGACCTGTGGGGTGTATAGCGGGTCGAGTGTGAGAACAAATGCTTGCCAACTATGGCATTAGCTAGTGGTCGCGTCATATCATGAATTGGCAGAAGTTAGAATTCATTGTTTGGCCATTGGATTGTGTCTCAGTGGCTTAATGGTCTATCAGCTCCCCTTGTAACCAGAAAGTCCTGGGTTCGAACCCCTGTAGTGGTGGGTGCATACTGATGGCAAGCCCCGAACCAGGGCGAAACAGCTGCCCAGTACCCCCAGGTTTCCTAATGCGATGTCAGTTCATGATGAAATCCTGAAACCAATCAATCGAATCCCTGTGAACCAATACTTGAATAAAAATATCTGTTCCAAACATTTCACCTGTTGGAAGTTCTCTAATTCTATTTATTAATTAAATTGGCTCCCTACGATTTACTGGTTGGTACAACCTAATTATGGCACCGTAAATGTGTATGTATACGTCTGCATAATTTGTATTATTTACAAGTTTTGTAGACACCTGTTAAAAATCCTTTTGGAGTATTAAAAATAGTGCTGAGTCTTCATCTTGTTTGTTGTATATCAAAAAAGTGAGAACACTTAATTCTTGTAAGCTGTGGTATAGATTAGATGGACTCACACTGATTTTGGAAGGGGATTTGTCGTCTTATAGATAATTTTGAATGAAGACATTCTTAAGATATAAAAAATAATAATCTATAGGGACATGATATTCAATTAGTACACTTTTTATAGAGCCAATTCTGTGTCTTTGTAACCATACAGGTGGTCACTGTTCCTGTAGCGTTTTGATCAAAATGCGCGTTGGCCGGCTGACATAGGCCCTTAGGATCAGATGAAATGGTGTCTTCATACAGAATTCCGCCAGCACGGGATCTTGTCCTTGAGATTACTAGAAAATATTACCCTCATTGATGCTTCAGGGATTGGTAAAGAGGAAAGGCTGGGCATGAGACTAGCAACCCCATCCTGTAAAAATAAACACTCCTGCTACAGAAACTTCAAGCCTGTAGCTTGAAGCCCTATAAAAAACACAAACTCATCACTTAAGAGGTGGCTTTCGTGGATCAAGTGGTCTAGTGGATAACACTTTGGCGCTTGAAACTATGGGCACTGGGTTCGAGTCTCACCGACAACACCATAATTACTCACTTGACTGAGGAAGGCAGAGACGTTCAGCTGGCGGACGAGTCCCAAACACAATGAAATGTGCATGCTGCATTCCACTGCCAGTCACCATCCACCAGTTTACCTAATCTATTTATATTATTATGATTATTATTATTATGAGGGGTGATATGTCTTAAAAATTCCTCTTCTACTAATATATGTGTAAAACTTGGGCACTCTGGTAGTAAGTAATTCCATATTAGTTTGTTTATTAGATGTATCACACAGTCAGTGAAACAGTATTACCATTTACTGGATGACAGTTTTGAACACAATTTATTCATTGTTCATAATCATTTCATCAATTATAATCACACGCGACTTTGAAACTTGAGTTTTATAGCTTTCTTTGTTCTCTCCTCCTATTTGTCGTCGTCGTGTGGGGTAGTAGAATTTCCCAGATATCTGAGTGGACAGGTGTTGAATCATTCCTATTACACGTATTCACTCTCAGTTGATTCGATAAACAAAGCTTCTGTTATCAATCTCTCCCTCCACCATGTTAGTTGTATTGGATTTCGAAACTGTCATCTCATCCTATCGCATCCTATTGTATGGTTGTATGTAATTGAATGTCGGGAGTACTATAGCTGAACTATTCTGTAGATTTCTTATCTTATTCGGGTCAAATAATCTATATGTTGCTGCTGGGTTTTAATGCTTGGTGAGTCTGACTGCCCCTATTCTACTAGTTTGACCTATGTATTTGACGTGACGATCAGTGCAGAATCAGGATATTAGATTAACTTAATTGTTTTGTTTTAAAGGCTCCACTGACAGGATCCACCATTTAACCGACAAAGCTTGTTTGTAATTGAGTTTGTGGTTGGGTTGAATGCCAACCACTTTTATTCCTGCCCTGTTAAGAATTCTCCGCCTTAAGATTTCCGACGTTCTTTCCTTGTTTGGAATTACTACTGATGATTTAGTTTTCTTATTGTTGGTGTTGTGATTATCTTGTGCATGTTTGACATGCATGTCGTCATTAATATTATTATTATCGTTCTCACTACTGTCATTATTTATTTTATTTTTACATTTCCCTACATAGTTTTTGACTAATTTATCGGGTAATTATTAAGTTTCAAAGCTTCTCTTATATGTCTCACTTCGTGTCCTAGATATTCCTTTGTACTTGTTAATTTTTGTGCTCTATTATTTAAACATTTAACCGATCCTATTTTCACTGATATAGGATCGGATGATCAGCAGTCTAAATATCTGTTTGAATGTGTGGGTTTCCTGTAAACAAACTAGTATGTGTTTAACTTCCCATCTTCTTTTCTTTTTACGCTACAATCCCTAACATTGGAAGTTCCCCTTCCTGACTTTCCAATTCATCATAAGTGAATTGAATTGCCTCCACCTCTGGGTCATAATGTGCTTGAAAAATCTATCTATCTCCTGTGTGTTCTAAGTACAGTGAATGTATCATCTGCATACCTTCACCATACTTTTGGGGTGTTTTATGATTTTAATTAATGTAGCTGTAGTATGTGAATAAATTCTCCGGAAAGAGGGCCTCTATACTGTATATTGTGTGTATAAATGGGGATATTCCATAAGAATTAAATGATATATGGTTTATTTTTGTTTGTTTTATTTCTCTCTAGACGGGATCATCAACCAATAACTTATGGTTAATCTATGGATGTCGTTCTCCAACAACCAGCCTTCTATTCAAAGAAGAATTATCCGACGCTGTCAATGCCAAATTGTTAAGCCATTTATGCCTATGTTTCTCTAGAGATACTGTTAATTCACCAGATGACAAATATACTCTTGCTGACTTGCCATCAGTATTACGCGAACAAGCTTGTTTCCCCTTGAAATCACATTATGTTCAAGAGTGTATCTACCATTCTAACTCGTCTGAGAATACTCCATCTGAGCATGGTATTGAATTAATGCATCTTGTTTATGATCACAGCGCAAAGATAATGGTTTGTGGTGATGCACGTGGTTTAGCGCCAGGTGTTTTCCAAGCTTGGATTAAGTTATTAGCTATGAAACTTCATTGGGTACAAACAAATACTTGGTGTACATATGCTGAGTTATCTAGTGAAGAATTGAAAAACGCTCAGGTGTATCTGCAAGAAATGCGTAAATTTAAACGCTATCAAGAAGATATTTGGTTGTAAATGCTGGTGGTTACTTTGTTGCTCTGTACAAATGAAAGCATAATAATAATAATTATAATTTTTTATAGATTGCTTCAATTTGTGCATATTTTTTCAATTTTCTAATGAACCTCTCGCTATATACATCGAAAAGCTGGAGCTGTGTGTTCAAAAGAAACTAGTCCAGCCTCCACAACTACCATGGACCACCTAGTTCGGTATGTTCCCTTATCCTTCAGTTTATTTTTGTTTTGTTCTCTGTGTGCGTAATTTTCTCTCTTTGTTTTCATTCAATTCATCCCATTTCTTTTTTCAGTTATAAAATCCGTTATTTTAAGTTTGTCTCCATGCTCCTCTTCCTGACCACGCTTGTAATTTGTTTAGAATAACCATTTTACAATTATATTCTAATCCTGTGTAATTTTTTTGTTTCTATGCCTCTTGTAATCTATCTATATTCACACCTCCTAACTTACCATTTCAAGTGGAAAATTTTGATTTCAATTTGTTTCCATGCTCATTTTGTAATTCGTCCTATCCCTGTGTAAGTTTTTGTCTCTAAGCTTCTTGTAATTCATACCAAGTTGAAAATAATTGTCACCTTTTATTCGCCTTTACAATTATTTCTCCAGTTATTAAATGTCAACTTTGCATATGTTGTAATTGTTTTCTAATCCTATGCAATCTTGTCTCCATACCCCCTTGTAATCTATATTCGTACCTTCAAACTTTCATATCAAGTTGAAATTATTATCGCCTCCGTTGGTATGTGGAATTAAATAAAAATAATAATTGTATCCACGTAAACTAATCTATATAAATGCGATTGTACAGCTGCTTTTGAAAAATTAAATCGCTGAAAAGATATCTGTGTTGCTGAACTTCTTGTCTTTTTCAATCTAATGTCCCAATGGGTATTTTCCATGATTTGGAGAATCAAGGATGCTGATTTCGTCCTTTTGGCGAGTCATCAGACCGATGTACTTACAATGTCTAGTGACTATTGTTTTCAAAAGAATGGATACTGAACAAAGAGTACTCTTCCCGATAACTTCATCATCAGGCTCTACAGTTATATATACATTATTGTGAATGAATGAATGAATTAGTGTTATGAACAATATTAATGTCGTTTAAATAACATCGAATCAATAATATCAATGAATTACAGTTCAATAGCATTAACATGACAATAAAGTGAATGTCAGAAAAATTAGGAAAGATAATATTACAAATACACGAATTTATAGTCTCTACTGAAGGCCGGCCAGGGCAGTAGTAGTGACTGGCTGTACTTGCTTCTTTTGAACACAGAGAACCGGTTGTTTGAGGTTAATTGCAATAGCCTGTGCTGTTTGCAGCATGCGGTGCTTCGATGATTTTGGCAATTTATTAGGCACTCGGTAGATGATAGAGAAGGATTCTTCAATTCTGGCTGGCTGGCTTCGTGGCCGGTTTGCACCAGATGGTCCAATATCGAATTGTTGACAGCTTTTACTACGCCTTTACGTAGCCATAGTGAGAGATGTTCCTGAGCGAGTACGAAAAATCAAGTTCCTAGAGCACCAGTGACACTATTGCTAGTGTAATGTGTCTATTCTCCTTTGTTTGGTGCAGACTGAATTCTATCAGTCAGTCAGTCAGGTTTGCAATGTGGTCACCATACCACTAGGTAGCTCACCATCACAGTGCACATTGATTGGATGATATATTAGATAGTTGGAGGCAATCTGCAGGAAGCCTTGGTCTTGACCTAGGTTTCATGCTAGCTGGCACTCACTGGTCAGCAAGACGTATCTGCAACCTTGAAAGAACTCATGTCCCTTCGGAGATTCGAACTCGTATATATATATATATATATATATATATATATATATATATATATATATATATATATATATATATATATATATATATATAAAGCCATACGTTGCTATAAACAATTATAGTAGAAAGAGAAGGTAGAATTCATGGATTAACCACTAGATTTCGTCGTGGTTGTCAACTGGGTCGATTAGTAACTTGCAGGTTCTGGATTGGATTGGATCCTTGGTGTAATGTCATGGATGCGTAATGGTTAAGAGTCCCATACCGGAAGAAGGTAGGGGGTATTCAATATCCATCAGTTTTCAGTGGTTTCCTAACTGAAATGAAAACATTTTCCCGCTAGGAATTCAAAACAACCAACAAAGCAGGATTTAATGATGGGTTCATCAAATTTCAGTAGAACTCGTCAGCTGCTCAGTACCCTACATACACGGATATATATATATATACTTTTGAAATTACATTGGGAGATATAAAACTGATAAGCAAATAAACTACATTGGATTAGTCATGCAAACACAACACGTGTGAATGTTTTTAAGGTCATGCTCAAATTGATAAGGTGAATGAAGCTGTGGTGAGAGCAGGCTGCTAGCCGATTGGTAGACATTAATCTACACCAATGTCTAGGTCACTAATATGGGCCGTGAAAAAATATGAGCAAGGCTGATTCAACAACCAATCACAGCAAACTTAACGTGGGCAAATGTGATTCACAGATAGACTTTTCGATGGTTTCCCGAAACAACCAATCAGAAGCCTGTGTTTGATTGCTTAACTTCCGGTAAACAACCAATCAGAAGACTGCTTTTGTCTACTTGACTAAGCTATAATAATGTATGTGAAATATATATAAATACGTGTTGATTTCCGTAATAAAACGATCTGTTGCCGGCCCTTGTCTTTTGTTGTTACAAAGCTAGTATAAGAGATTGAAATTAAGGTAAAATGCATTACACCTCAATTACATCACTTAGATAAACAATTAGTTATTAGAGAATATATCAAGAATTGCAAACAGAGTAATATTAATAGTGATAGTTATCATAATAATGTTGAAGTGAGTTAAGATAATGCCACTGATCAAGGATAGTTTTAAATGAATCAAGAATAACACCAATAATAATGAGAGGTAGAATAATAAATAAAAACTATTACCATGGTAGATTCAGAGTTCTCTAACCTATGTCAATTTATGATCACACTTGAAAGAAAATAAGATTGACACTATTGAATTTCTTAACCATGATCTGAAATATTTTTTTTCAATGAACCCTATTGAAAACATAAGACACACACTGCGAAACAACTTTGTCCATATAAAAGACCAAATCCCTAAAGATTCTCTATCTAATTTTGTCTATAAAATAAAATGCTTGCTTGGAATGTGATGCGATATATATACATTTAGAGGTTGAGGGATATTAAAGGTTTGACGTGATATCTCGTTCAACAACTTCTAATTAATTTATTCTCGCGTACCAAAGACAAAGCAAAAGCCAACAATTGATCGTCCAAACCAAAAGATGTATTTACGAACCAAAACCAGCCGTTAGACGAACGCTTAGCTAGCTAGTGATCGTGCACGTTACACGACGAGGTACCAAATGGCGGGGATGCTTGACCGGAAGCCTTCAGCTAAACAAGTCGACTTAAACAGTGGTGGTCAGCATCCAATGAGTGATTGCTGTGGTCAATAATTTTGGGGAATTATTTACCGCTACAGCTCACTCCCCCCTAGTGGGGTCGTGAGGACCCTAAGACAGAACCAGCCGGAAGTAAAAAAAACTCGATGGTTCCCTTTCGGGTGAAAAAAATCTTCCGAGCGGCTTGGTCTTATGCCTACTGGTTTGTCTGCCTATGCTAATGGGGTGTTTGTACATAGCTTCCTGGTGTTGTTCGTTGGATTCCGTGCTTCGTTTGTTTCCCGTCCAGTGCCCGTCGCACCTGGAAAAGAAAACAAGAACGCTAAGAACCATGTCGAGGAAAATGTACGAAATGATCTTTTTGGTTAAAAAAAATTGTGTGCATTTACTATACAGTAAAATATTGCTAAGTTCAGAACATCGAAAAAAAATACATCGAATTAATTTTTTTGTGTATGTTACATGAACTGTTGAGAAAAAACAATTTTTTTGTGTTCGGTGGTACTGTATATAAAAAAACTTATACGTCAAAAAAAAATAGTACCACAAACGAGTGAGTTGCGTGAATCACACGACTTCGTTAAGTCAAATAAGTGTGCAAGTGTTCTGGGAACCTTACGGTGCGTCCAGAACGGTTTTTCTTAGGAGGCTCAACCTTAGTAGCCAGTGGGCGAATGCCCTTGCAGTCAATAGTGTGACCCAGGAAGTCGAGTGAGTCAACACCGATTTGACACTTTTGAATATTAATGGTAACACCATGTTGGCGTAACCTGTCAAATGCCAAGTCCAAGTGCCTAAGGTGAGTTTCCTTGTCTGGACTGGCAATGAGGCAGTCGTCTAAGTATGCGTATACAAAGTCGAGACCGCGAAATACTTCGTCAATGAAGCGTTGGAATGTTTGGGCTGCATTCCGAAGACCGAATGGCATACGTAGAAATTCAAAAAGTCCGAAAGGCGTAATGATAGCCGTTTTCGGGATGTCTTCTGTTGCCATCGGGATTTGGTTATACGCTTTAACCAAGTCGATTTTGGAGAATATAGTCGCGCCGGATAAGGTTGCCGTCAAGTCGTGTATATGAGGCAACGGGTAGCAATCAGGGGTTGTTTTGGCATTCACTCGCCGGTAATCACCGGTGGGTCGCCAATCGTTGCTATCCTTTTTCGGAACCATATGAAGTGGGGATGCCCATGGGCTATTCGAAGGTCGAATGATGCCAAGGCTAAGCATATGGTCAAATTCATTCCTGGCGATTCTCAGTTTGTCAGGAGCTAATCGTCGTGCTTTAGATGTCACAGGTTGTCCTGTGGTAATGATGTGGTGCATAACATTGCTGGTTATGCACGGTAGGTCGTTCGACGGGCAGTTAAGTTCCGGATACTTGTCAACGATAGGTTGAAAAGTTGGATCAAGAATTGCCTTTATCTTAACGGGTGACAAGCTAGGGCCTATGTAGGTAATGCCTTTGATAGACAGACTAGTAGTATTGTCAATCAGTCGTTTTCGGCGGACGTCTACGAGTAAATCATGATGATTAAGTAGGTCCGTGCCAATGATGGGCATTGTAACGTCAGCGAGAAGGAAAATCCACCGAATAGGTTTGCGTAAACCTACGTTCAGATAGACGTATTTCCTACCAAAGGTTGCGATTGGTTTTCCATTTGCAGCCTGTAAGTTGAAGGTAGGTTCCTTCTGTCGATCTGCTGCTGTAGCAGGAAGGACGCTGACTTCGGCGCCTGTGTCGACTAAGTATCGAGTCTGGCTTATCACATCATGGATGTAAAGTAGGCGGCTAGTGCCACCGGCGACGGTTGCCGCTAACGCGTGCCGGCGGGATAGTTTCCCGCAGACTTTGAGACATTTCCGAAGTTACAAGGCTTACGGCAACACTTCGCTTCTTGGCCATAGGTGTTGTGGTACCAGCACCAGTCAGGGTTTTTCAGTGAACGTGGTTTGGACTTAGATCGACCACGCGAGTTCCTGCGTTGAGGAGATTTAGGACGACGGTTGGAGGATTTAGAATGCATGTTTGACCTAAACATCTGCTGAAGGGAGTTGCATAACTCTGTCATTGCAGGATCCTCACTCGAAGTCTGCTTAGTCATTGAGCATATTTCGGGGACAGACCGTTTAGTTATTTCTAGGATCTTATCTGCAGTAATAGCTAAGTTCTCTATTACAGTACCCTCAAGTGTCACAAGTACGGTCTGTACAGATTGTGGCAACTTGGTTAAGAAGAGTTCTCTAAACAGTCCTTCGTCGAACTGACATTGGCCGACGACTTGTTTCATTCTTGTCAGCATGCTCACGGCTGACTGATCTCCTAACTCGATGTTGCGAAATAATTCATCTAGACGTTGTCTGTCCGTGAGAGCGTTTCTCCTGAGGAGGGATGCTTTCAGCAACTC